TGTGAATCAGGACCCCCTTATACTAGGTGCTCTACAAATACATATGAAGACAAAGCTGATATTTATATTACTATATAATGCTTTCCATCTGCTGATTTTAAGGAGCCTTAAAAGCATGAATGAATTGAGCCTTACAACAATCTTGTAAACTAGGAGGGTATTATCTCCATTTTACAGATAAGCAACGTGTAGGTGTCAAAGTCAAAGCACCAAGAATAAATTCAGGTCTCTTGGTACCAATTCTTTGCTATTTTCAGGAACTGGATGGCCCAAAGAGTGGTTATAGATCAATATTTTCAAATGTGGGTGCCAAAAGTTAGGTACCTAAATACATATTTAGGTGCCTAAATAAGAGACTGATTTTCAGAAGTTCTGAGCACCTGAAATTCCCTTAGACTTAGACCCTGATTCAGTAGTCCATCTTTATGCTTACCTTTAGGTATGTGCTTGTCTCATTAACTTCCATGGAACTTAAGCACATGCTTAAATGTTCTTTGCTGAAATGTGCTCTTATGAGATGCTGGTGCTCAGCACCTCTGAAAATCGTGTCACTTTTATTTAGGTTTGCACTACTGTTGCCTTGTTATATGGATACATTATGGATTTGGATCTCCAGGGTTGTCAAACCAGTAATTTCAGGAGCAGTAAATTCACTAAAAAAAATGAGCTTTTTTTTTTTTAATGAATGCCGATTTTGGATTGTATAAACTAAAAAATTACAATAGTAAATTTCTAATTGTGCTAGAATATCCTAAGAATATCCTAATTGATGTTAAAAAAAACCACCCCAAAACAACTTAGGAAAAATATTTGCTTCTGTCTTAAGTCTCTGTGACAGATTAATGTCCACCCTGAAACACATTTCTATACAATTTCCATAAGAGCCTGAAAAATGGGGTTTATAATAGAAGTGGTGACACAACCATAACTGTGGAAGCAAGAGTTCACCACTATAATCAGTCTCAAACACTAAAACTTTTTTGATTTTACAAACTTTTATTCAAGGATTAAAAAAAGGCCGAGATTTTCAGTTATTCCCCAAACCTGTAGAAATAGACTGTAACTTTAAGCAAACTAGAATGTTCAATGTTCCATAATTTATTTGTATGGATAATCACAGAAAACTTTTCCTGGTCCACAAAACTTGGTGCTGGCTGTAAGACACTGTAAGCTATAGAGTACTATAACATGTTAGCTCATGCTTGATGGCAACAGGTTTGTTTTCCATAATTGTGTAATCCAAATTCCTTTTCAAAGAGAAGATTTTTGAAAAGGACTATTAAATGCAATCATTAACAAGCACATAGGGCACTAGACAAGTAAACTTGTCTTAATTATGGTAAGCTTAAAAAAATTGAAAGTACCAAGTTACAAAGTACAGATATGGTTTTAGGACTAAGAAGTTTCTCCCAGTATACTGCCTAAGCTTTTGTCTCCATTACAGTTACAGCCAAGTCAGGGTATCCAGCACATGTTCCAGCTTTTAGAATAGTTAGGGAACACAGTTAAGGTCATATTTACACTACACATTCGAACTGTGTTGCAACTGTGTCCTTTGATTTGATTGTAATGTAGATGGCTGTAAAGCTAATTAAACCTCATCTACTGTTCTCAGAGCAAACCGCCAGATGTTGCTTAAGCACAGTGTAAAGGGAGTTTTGCTGAAAACAGGTTATGACATGGTTTTGCCAATAAACAGGGACTGAACATTTTCCGTGTTATAACAAGATTTTAAAAATTGCTTTAGCCCAGGATAAACATGTTGGAAGTGTTTAAACACAGGTGTTACCAGGTGCTAGAACTATTTCAAATCTCATTGTACACCATATCCAAGTCCCATAGACATTTTACATTTTGCTGTGCAGGAACCCAGATAAAAAACAATAATCCTCTGATATGGTTGACACACCATTCGTTCAGTATAGATATACTGGATTATGTTTTCACTTCTTTTTAGCCATGTTACAGCTCTGCTTAGTGCCAGACTTTAGCATGGTTTAGGAACAGAGTTAAAACATGATTCAGTCCTGTCTGCTCTGCAAATCCAAAATGTATATTAACTTTGTTAGGACTACTCTGCTGCAAAAGGATACCCAAACAAAAAACTTTTTCCAGGGCAGATGGGATATTAGAGAGATAAATTCCATAAACTGTCATATAAAACCACTGAGTCCCATCTTTAATAATATTTTAAATCATGGCAACACTTTTCTAGCAAAAGAGTTATGTTTAAACATGGTCTCTAGGAAGCTGGTAACATGTTTTCTTAAACGTCGGGGCTGTATGCTCCTTTCCATTCTGTTTTGGGGAGCAAAGTAATGGCAACAAGAATACAATGGGTCCTACACATGCTGAAGGTGGGAGTGGTATCAAAGTGACATATTTCCGCTCAGAAGCTTGTCTGTACTAACCAATTGTGTATTTCTTAAAGCACCTCTCTCCATAGTATCTAAGAGCCAAATACAGGTATTAATATTTGTATTGTCACACAGTAGGCCATGCTTTTCACCACTCCTTGGTTCAGCAGCTTTTATATATTTGGGTGGGTTTTCTCTTTGGGCTACAGCTTGCCATTGCAGGCAGGGCTTTGCAAAAGGGTCAGCTCTGTAAGCTGCTGTATTTTGGGGCATATTTTTATCTCCTCTTGGACTCTTCAGTATTTCAGGACTGTGCTGGGACAGGAGAGACAGGAGCTGGGATTCAGCTCCCATTCAAAACTAGCAGATACTCGAGCCAGTATCTGCTACTGTGTTAGTGCTGCTTGCAATATTACCGTATGCTCGCACTTAAAACTCCTTGAATGGAAGAGTTCTGTACAGGTGCAGTGAGGTCTAGAGGAGGACAAAGGGGCCAGGAGCAGTACCTGGGGCCCAACAAAACCGCAGAGGTGGCTAACACCTTGTGGTGAGGCATTAAGATATACCTGTGAATGCCAGCCTCCACAGTGTTTAGAAGTAAAGTCTTCTGCCTGCTTGGTAGGGCCTCAAAGTTGCAGAGAGAATCCAGCAGAAACTTCAGGAGTTTCATGCCCACTTCCCCACCCCACCCTCTGTGTTTTTCTACTTGTGAGGGGGAAAATATAAAAAAGAATCTTACAGATCTGGAGTAAGGAAACTCTAAACTCCACTGTCCTCTCCTGCTTTGCTACCAGCTGCAGCTACTCTGCTCATGGTGCACTACCTACTGCTGTGCTGTGACTGAATGTGTCTTTGTAGTTCTGTAGTTGGGTGCTATTCACAGCTCCCTATCTGACTCAGTGTGTGACCTGGAGCAAGAAAAACCTTTGAATGCAACAGTTTACCATCAGAATCACTTCTCAACATAACCATCTGTAAGACGTGGATACTATTTACTTACTTCACTAAGCCTCACAACAGCTTTGTTAGAGCGTTTCAGAGAAATAGGACTTTCTCTGCAAAGTGTAATTACATTTTACAATCCCAGGGGTAAGACACAGACTTGTGACTCCACATATGGTCCTGAAGCACAATTATGAATCTATCTAAACTGAGGAACTGTGCTATTTCTCTCTTTTTTAAGGGCTTGATCCTATTACCTTTACTGATGTGGGTAATGCCCACTGACTACTCATGTACTGAATGAGTATTGCAGGACCTGGCCCTTCAATGAGGGGAAAAGTATGTATGAATACCAAAATGTGTTACATAAGTGTAAAACAAACAAACAACCCTCCAATTGTCACCCATTTTTTTAGAAATTACTCTGCTCATGAAACTCTCTAACTCCTGTGTAGGGAATTTTACAGTTTTCGGAGCATATTCTGTGTACGTCTCTGACACCAAGAGGAATTCTGTGCCCTATTCTAGGGTTGCTCCTACCCTCCATTTGGTTCTCTCCTGCTCTGCTAACTCAAAAATGAATAAATAGATTTTACTCAAACTACCCTCCTAAACAATCTCCCATACCTGAAATCAAGCACAGTAAGGTGAATTTAAGAGCTAAAAGTGGTTTAATATAAGGGTTCAAAATCTGGTTTAGGTATTTTCCTCCCGATTTTCAGTGTTGATTTTTAGGCAAACAAGGGCTCTTTTTTAAGAGTAAAATTTTTGTGAATTTATTTTAATGATATATTACTTAAATGCCCAACACCTGTAAAACGCTATAAATATCTGGGGAATTGTTTGCAGGGTGTCTACATATTCTTAACACCAGTTCATTCATAACTGATTCATCATCTCAGCAGAAGCAGCAGCTTTACAATGTGCCCCAACCATGCTCCTCAGCCAGTCTTAGTGCAGCCACCAGAAAGGCCCTTCCTCATCCACTGTTGATGAGGAAGGGCCTTTCTGGTGGCTGCACTAATGTTATGCTTCTGGCATGACATTCCCATCTCTGATACCCCATCGCACATCTGGGGGGCTGCAGGGTTTTCTCTGCTGTTTCTTCTCCAATTACAGTGGTGCCAGCATTGCAGGTAGCCAGGGAGCCTTTCGTCCGCTCCCTCTGGAGGATCCCAGCAAAGAGCTGGCAAGGAGTAGGGAGAACTAGCAGCAGCTGGATTCCCCAGCGCCCTGCCACTGGACACGTGTGGGTCGGCTCCTAACACAAGATGTGGAAAAGGGACAGGCCAGGGAGCAGGGGCTGAAGTAGGGAAGCGCGCAGAGGCTCAAAGGCGGCCCACTTTGTAATACAGGGAAAGGGGCTGAAGAGAATGAGGGGTGGGGTTGGAGGCCGGCTAGACCAGACAGCCTGAAGGGCAGGGGGGAGGTGGACCGGCGGGGTGGGGGGCACAGCAGAGGAAGTGGGGCTGAAACGGGGAGGCAGGGGCAGAGAAACTGGCCTCCGAAAGACTCCCCTGGGCTGCCTCAGCCCCCGCAGACCAAACACACTCCCTAGGACTGACTCAGCCCTTTCCTCCCTCTCAAACATTCCCGCTCCCCCCCCCATCCCAAACCAAACCAAACCAAACCAAACCCTGCGGACTCGGACTCTCCCTGTTCTCCCAGCACCCTCAACCCCCCGGCCGCCCCTCGCTCCCTGCCCCTCTCACTGGCTGGAAGAACGCGGGGGGAGGAACTGGGCTGCAAAGGTAGCGCAGGCGAAGGGGCGCGGGCGGGACCAGCGCAGACAGGGGGGCTCCGAGGGGAAAGCAGCGAAAAGCCCGTCCCGCGGCTCTGCCCCGACCGTGGCAGAGTTGCAGCAGGCGGGACTGGCAGGAGCCCGCCCCTCCTCTTCCTCCCGCCGACGGGGTTCGTTCCTCCTCTTCTGCAAAGAAAACACACAAACAACAACAAAACAGCCCATGTCAAGTCCCCGACGTCTCCGGGCCCCGCAGTAGCAGCGGCCGCTCCGCATTCCTGGGATTCCAGGGCTGTGACTCCGCGCTCCAGCCCCACGCTCCACAGCGACTCCGACACGCACTCGCTCCGCAGCCGCCGCCTCCGGCCCCATTCGCTCTCTCGGGACGACAATCCCCTCCCTCTCTCCTTCCCCCACCCCCGCGGGCTGCAGCGGGAGCCCACGGCTCTCTTCACCGCCTGCAAACTCCCCTCCCGGCCGCAGCGTCCTGCCTCCGCCTCCCCAAACTCCTTCAAACTTTCCCCGCCGCAGCGGGGACAACATTATTGGGTGGGGGTCGCTGGTTTAGTTTCCCTCCCTCTCCTCCGGGAGCCCCCAAATCCGGCACCACCCTGATTTCCCCTCGGCCCAGCTGAGCAGCAATCAGCTCTTCCCAGCAGCACCGGTTCCTACTTTGTCCCCCCCTCACCAGTTGGGAACCCTCTCCCGGTCAAGACGGAAACCTTCTCCGCTGGGAAACCCTCCTGGGTGACTTGGAACGAAGCCTGAGCTACCCTTGTTGCCTTTTCCCGAGGAAGGGGGGGGGCGGCATTCCCAGTGTCCCTGCCCGAGAGGAGAAGCCGCCTCTACATGTAAACCCAGGTAAGCAGCAGCAGGAGCAGTAGAGTTTGCTGAAGTTTGTCCGCGTTGTTTTAACGTGTAACTTGTAGTTGCTTGTACCACTGATCGCAGCGCCGGAGCGGTAGTGACTTTTTCAAAACAGTCTTGTCATAATTGATGGCGTATGTGTGCGTATAAAAATCGGTTCCCATCCATTATAATTTATCATCCGTTGTAACGCAATTATGGACACATTACTTGTATGTGTACATAATGCAAATTTATCTCAGCTAAACTTGTCCTAATCCAGAAATATACTGGAGCAAATGTCTAAACAATATATGATTTATAGAATCAATATAAATATATATTTGTAAACAGCTGGGGACAAGCTAAGCTTTCTGCTGAGCTGCTTTCTTATTTACACTGCAGCATGACTCTGTTTAGTTTCCAGTATCCTCCTGTGCCCTACCTCACCCCACCGGATGGATTTACCTTGTTCTTTGTTAGTTACAAGTCAAGTCTACACTGGCCATTCCTCTACAGCAAAGGCTGTAACAAGTTGGGCAGAAATTACAATATTACAAGACTGTGTGAGCATTGTGACATCTCTTCTCATTTCTAATGTGCCAAAGTCAAATAATCTTAAAAGATTCAAAAGTAACCTCCCCTATTACAATCCATTTGGGCCATACAGTAGGTATTGTGTGTGTGCATGTTCGGGCATTGCAATGTTTTCCCATTAGGAACACTGTAGTTTTGGTTGCAAAGGCAGTTCCATTATAAGCACCTCTCTATCTATTGTGGCTTGTAACTTTAACTTTATAGAAACAAATAGTTACTGGTAAACTGGGCAATAACAGTGAATGATCATTCAGAGGTTGTTCCTGAGATTGTGGTATGTGGCCCGCAATCAAGGGCAGTATTCACAGTAGAATGAACTGTTTTTACTCTGTTTCCTCATAGACATTTGCTATTAAAATGTGTGAAAACATACACTTACTGTATGCTGAATTCTTTAGTGCTTGTGACTTCAGTCTATAAAATGGCTCCCTTAAGCAGGAGCTCTTGAGGCCACCTGCCAGCCTTGTGAGGGTGGGAGAGATTAAAGAAGACAAGTAGTTTTTAGGAGATACTTGCTGGAGATTGTCACCCTTGTCTGATGTCTTCTGACCATTTATTTGAAATTGTCTGTATCAAACAAACATTATAATGACATATAGACTCCAGGGTTTGCTATTGCCCTTTTAGGAAGGCTGTCACTCATATCTAACATTGGTTTAAAATATAAGAGGTTAATGTAGTTTTTGTACATGCATAGAATGGGATTTGGGCAATGATCTGTAAATGACTGTGCAGCTGGACCTCCCTTGATTTCAATGGGTCTCTGCACAGACACAGGGCATTTGTCTGAGCAGAATTTCATGCAGGATTGGGGCCTAAATCCAAACCCAGTGGGCACGATATAGAAGTTTCTGAGCCATGCAAACTGCTGATTTGGGGCCCAGTCCCAAAGCCCTTATTCAAATGATAGTCCTTTAAATCCATGGGTTAACTCCTGGATCCCCAAGTCTGCAATCACATCTGTATGGGGAAACCCTTGTGCCCATGTAAAGGTCCGATGGCTCTGTACAATTACAGGGGGTCTGTCTGTGCAGGTCTGACTGCAGGATCAGGGCCTGCATGGATGAAAACTGCAGGGTGGAGCCCTTAGTGCTGCTTTGTACATACAATGTGTCTTAAAAATGTATATTTAAAATCTGTGACTTTCAAATGTTTGCACCCCAGTAGTTACAGCTATTATAACACAATGTTGTTCCTTGAGGATTAATTAGCCACTGTTGTTAATGGCTCGTCGTGTCATTAAATGCCAGCAGATGCCTTGCTTAAATATGGAACAGTCTTCCATGAATTAGGTGTTTTTTGTTTTTTTGCACAAACTGCTAAAAAAATGGCTAAACCAAACATGGAGAAAGTTTTCAGCCCGAAGAAGGGTCAGAGGTGCTTTTGAAAACTGTCGGGTACCAGTGTAGTCAAAGGACCACAGATATTTTTCATCTTATTTGTCTTTACTTTGGGTCTGGAATGAATTACATAGTGCTAAAGCACAAGTGTATTATTTGACTCTGAATTTAATAGCTTTACATGCATATCTGTAGCATGAAAGACACACTTTAAAAATAAATAAATCAGGCTCCTTCGTTGGCACGTCAGTTCTATTGTATCTAAGTTGTAGTTAGGTTGTTGATATAACTATTGTAAGAATGCAGTTATTTAATATGTCTTAGAAAGTTTTTCATTAGGCTTTCATACTCAGTACTTTAATTATAGGTTCCAGTTCTTCAAAGGCTTACCCATGTGCTTAACTTCATGCAATGAAGCCACTGGGACTACTTGTGTGTGTAAATATTAAGTATGTGCATACATTTTTGCCATAATAATTAGGATGTATATAGTATGATTGTACTTATCAAGCACAATTACCAAAATAGAGATTGTTATATTGTAGGGATACTATAGCAATCTTGATTTAATCCTCTTGTGCCTAAAAACATTGATGTCAACAGAAAGATTCATAAGGGCAGGTTTTGGTTGTTTTTGAAACAAGCTGTGAAGACCATTTTTCCTGTGAGAAAACTATTGACCATCTGTAGACTTTGATGGAATTTTATATAAAAGCATGTAGTTCTGTATTAATATTTAAGAATATTTAAGATAATTCTTTATTACACAGGTGGTTCAGAGTAATATCCATAGAACCCTATTGATTTAATCTTCATTAAGTTCTAAAAGACTCTTTTGTAAGGTAATATTTTAATAATTTTTATTTTTATAATACTTTCTATTTGGGGACCTCAAAGCATTTTACAAATACTGTTGAGTTAGTCTTCACAGAGCCTCATGAGGTAGGCAATATTATTGTTCTTAGTTTATAGATTGGGAAACTGAGGTACATATATTAAGTGACTTGCCCAAGGTTATATCCTAGTGTGTGGCAGAACCAGGAAGAGAAGTCCAAAGTTAATTCTAGAGCACAGGATTGTGTCCTGACCTCTTAGTCCTATGCTCACGTCTAATTAATTGTTTTCCACCAGGGAACAGGGTGGGGTAGCAGAAATGAAGCCATTCCAAGGACCAGCCATAGGTGTCTTGCCATCCTAGATAAAAAATATTTTTGTCCCCTTCTTCCCACCAAGTAACTGAGCCCAAAAAAGAAAAAGGTTGAAGGATGTCCCCCCATATGCTGATTTGTTACCCCTAGTAGTTAGAGCCCAGGGTGATCACCCTGATTACCAGCCATACTAGATCCCTCTCTTCCCAGATGGATTCCCTCCTGCAGCTATTTCTTTTCCCTCCGAACTAGGCTATTCTTCTGCTTTGCTCCTACTGCACCAACTAACTGCAGCAGCCTGTTAAGGAGCCCAGTGTGCCACACTCCTCATCTCTATACTCCATTAGCTATAGGATGCAGCAGAACTACAGGGAATTTTGAGATGAATCTCTCTCATGCATCCCTTATCTCTCCCCCCTTCCCCCCACCACCATCCCACCACCACCACTTGAACTTCATGGAGTTATGCCACATGTGATTTTTCACCCATGGTTTCCAAACCCCTTGAAACATCTTGTGGCCTGCCCAGAGACCCTTGGAAAGTTAGGTTTCAGAGTAACAGCCGTGTGCATCCGATGAAGTGAGCTGTAGCTCACGAAAGCTTATGCTCAAATAAATTGGTTAGTCTCTAAGGTACCACAAGTACTCCTTTTCTTTTTGGAAAGTTAGGAAAGTTCTGGAACTCCAGGAATGTGGACTCCCGAGTGGGTGTTCTGAGGAGGAAGACTCCTGACCCAAAATGAAGGAAAACAGTGAGAGGAGACAATGCCTTGTGACACTCCAGAAGACAGGTGGGAATAGGGTGGCCAGATAGCAACTGTGAAAAATCGGGTCACTTTTTTTTAACGGAGTGGGGGGTATAGTTGCCTATTTAAGAAAAAGCCCCTGATATCGGGACGTCTGGTCACGTTAGGTGGGAAGGAGTGAAGAGATTGTGGTTGCAGATGTTGTGGAATAAGGGGGCGGGAAAGAATTTGGGAGGGATGGTGGCCCATGAAAGGTGAAAGATAATAGCAAATGTGCGTCGGTCTGGTTGACTTCACAAAAGTGGATGGAAGGGCTGGGAGAGAGTGAGTGTTGGGTGATCCAGGTGAGGGAAAGCCCACGGAAAGAGTAAATGAGTGAGTATAGAGACTACCTAGGAGCAGTCCTTCACACACTTTGAGCCAGTTTGTGAGTGTGTTTTCCCAGACTGAGCCTGCAGCTGTTTTATGAGGTGGGCAGGCTGAAAGGTTGGTATGTGCACAGAGAGGAGGAAGAGTGGGTTTGGTTCTGGGGAAACTAAATAATGGGAGAAGGGGTTGATGGGAGAGTGTAGCAAGTTTGTATTTCTGAGGTGTTGCATACCTATAGTTTGGTTATTTTCTGTCTGGCTATTGATAGTCTATTTTTTGGTAGATAATCCTTGCCCCAAAGAACAATCCTCTCTCTCTCTCTCTCTTTTTTTAAACAATTGCCTAGTACAATGGGGACCACTTCAGATTGAGGCATCTAGGTCCTTTAATAATAATAATAATAAATTAATTACTAACAATAATGATGGGAAAAACACAGAAAACAAGAACAAAAATAATAAAACCACAAGAAATCATTAGAGCGTAATCAAAAAATGGCCTCTTCACAGACAAAATTATTCATAGACTTTTTGTTTTGTTTTAATTTTTTTTATCCAAGTTGTTAGGGAAATTTATCTAATTTTTTCCTTTATTGAAAATCTTATTTAGCTACACTGGAAGATCTTAAAATGCATTTGCCCCTTTTTTTGTGTGGTTTCTGTTCTATTTTCAGCTCTTTTAAAAAAAAACAACAACTCTTGATTATGTTTGTTATAATTTATTATAAATTGAATGTTTGATAAATAAAAAAATTGTAAAGTTTTGTGGTGAAAACAAATTCTGTGAAATTTAATAAGATCAAAAATTGCTCCATG